CTTCTGTGGGATCTCCGAAACCGAAGTATCCCAGCAATGGGTAATAGACTGTTACAATAAGCTTAAAGTTAGGACGATATCGTTAAACACGAGGAATGATGCGAGATGAACGAAGAAAGTAGAAAAAATTACCTGGTAAAAATGAAGAATTAAGTACTCCGGGGGACAATCCAGCCAACTCTAAGCGAGAGTCCTTTACAAGTCGTTGATATCGGCGTTTGTTGGCGGACACTTCAAACAACTTGTCTACTCGGTCGTACAGTAGACCTTCAAACTTCGGTTCTTTCTTCCCGGTCGGTTTTGCTACAAGGTCACAAAAGTCCACCTGTTAGCGGCAACAAAAAACAAAATATTAATAACCGAAGTGAAGAAAACGAAAAACAACTTACAATAACCAGATTTAGTGGCCATTGGGATGCTTATCCCATCGGCCAGAAGATCATTAGCGAAGTCGGGGCACTGCCAGTCTCCCCCAACCCATAACCACTCCTCTTGGAACCCATGTAGAGTATCCGGGACCTCCATTATTAGCTCGCCAACTTTAACCCTTGGTTGCGGCTTACCGACAATTGAAAAGGTGAGAAGCGGGTCCGACACTTGTCTATCTGGGCTCTTCCGGAATGTGAACATACTTCTTATATCCTTTGCCGACGGCAGATCCCATTTTTTCTCGGCAAAAAGCACTAACAACCCGATGATTCGTTTCCACGAATTTGGAGCAATTTGACATATCGGAAACTCCCAATCCCGTAAGTATTCGGTGATTATACGTGGCAAAGGGAATCGTAAGCCCGATCTTAAGCTCTCAGCAAACACGCCGACACAGTTTGGTGGGGGACAAGTGATCCTTTCACCTGGGTATGGAGCAAACAGATGTACCGACGAGGGGACTCGGATTTCGCCTCGTAGCATAATGATGTCGACGTCAGTCAGAATACTCGGCTCTCCGTGAGATGTTATCTCTGGGCTTGGCCATCTCCTGATAGGTCGTCTCCAAAATCTTGGGTCGTCGACGGCATTTTCCTCTACAGCTTTATCCCCTTCACTGTCATTCAGTCGGATCTTCAACCGTTCAACAAATACCGGATCCCACCGGTTGTACTCAGACAATAATTCTAACTCCCCAGAGTGAACCATATTGATCATCATCACGTCCAACTCGTCGTCACCCGAAGATGCCCAGGATACGCTCATGGTGTTGACAAAAGAAGAAGAAAAGTCGGTATAAATAAA